CAGAATGGGTGCCGACGGTCAAATGAGATGGCGAACACCGAGAGCCCACCTGAGTAAGCTACAGTCATCAAAGCCATTAATATGCCGGTGACTAATCAGAGATCATTGATCAGTAGGTATGCTTTGATCAGCGTTCACTGCCGTATTTGTATTTGAATAGGCTCTCGCATGCTGACTGCGGATTTCCTGACTGCGGAAAGAGTCTGTTTCAGGCATTAGAAACGGCGTCGCGAAATTCGACGGCAAAGTCACACGTAGCTAGAAATTAAGTAATACACAGCATGCTGAGCTCATGATGACTTTTCGCCCAGAAACATCAACAACCTCAGATTACACAGCCATCATCCAATTCGGTGAAGGCTATCAGAACGATGGCAGAGTAGCCGGTGAGATCCGATGATTGCCAAATAGCGATGGGAAGCAGCTGCTTGATGGCACAACATGTGAAGGGAAATATAGTGGTTGATATAAAATGCACTCGGACGATTTTCTGTTGGTATTTAGAGGGTAGATTGTGATCAAAACCTGATGGACCTACATCTCACTAATGGAATGTGTCAGGCTTCAGCATATTTGCTGAGTTGTGGCGGGTCCATTGTCATAAAAGGTAAATCGGAGATTCTAAAAGAGCATATCTCCTTACGCTATTGCAAAAGTAATTCAAAATGCACCAGAAGGGCACCATCTTTTGGACAAGCTTAAACACATCCCCAAGTCATGCAAGACGTAACACTCATATCACAGACGCCGCTTGGTGAGATTTAGCGACGAAAAATCGGTAACAGGTTAAAAATTCATAGAACGGTTTGAAATATGTCAGATGCATTAATCAATATTCCTGTTAAAACCAGCACTATTCAGGCATTTAATTTATCAGCAGTTACAACGTATCGGGACGAATGACTACCTCCCACACTGATCCATTGAAAGGTCACATACATCTGACAATTTAATATTTTTCATCATATGCCTAATATATTTTTACCGATGATTAGTTCGTTTTACTCAAAATCCAACTTTCAGCTTTAAGTGGAGAGTCTACGATGGCGTCCTATATAAATTATAAGGCATGAGCTAGAATACTCGTATATCTATGTTTCTGTTTGTATACACCAAGCATATCTATACATGGGAAAACCCTATATAACTGAACGGCCTCTCTGCCTGCTATCTTGGCGGCTGTGACACCTGAATCGGCAGCCTATATGTCACCGCGCGTCGGACTATCAGTGCGCAGCAGACCCGTTCTGGGGACGGCGCTCCGCCCCTGCCCTCCCAATTCTTGGGACGCCGCTCCGCCGCAGACCCTCCCTTCTATGTACATATAGGACGGCGTCGAATGATAAATGAATGCGTTAGTGTTAACTTATTCGCCAGCACCAGCGGGAAAGGCCATAGGTAAAATCTTTAGTTTTCATTTCATATGCAAATTTTACCGAAGATATGTCCGAAAGTTTCAAATAAGATGACCTACACTGACACTCACCATTAGCTGTTAGGTGCCATGCAGAATACCTGCTCATGGAAGTTGGAGTGCAGTTGAGGCTACCTTGTTGATCAACTTGTTGAGCTTTTAAGGCCCTCGTAAAAATTTCGAAGAGGAACCAACAAGGTCATAAGAAAGGTATGATATTGGGTTTACGATGATATGCGCATTGAACAACTGTTATCTTGATTCTCTGTTGCAAACAACAATATTCACTTCTATATTAAACCACGAGCAGGAGCAAAAATACGTTAAAGGTAGTGTGCCAGCTTTCCTGGACCATATGGAGTTAATGACCCGGATAAGGCGAACCGGATTTTTAGAGCTTATCCATACCTTCAAAACTCATGGAAACGTCTTAAATTCTTCAAATTTTGAGTACCCCAGTGCGAAATTCGCCCCGATGGGTTGTTGGTCGTACCCCAACCACATTTCACACCACTATGAACAATAAATGCACACACAAAAATCGCTATTACCGATAGGCTCATCCAATCAAGTTTCGATAAACACGTTCATCATCATCTCCTGCGGTTTCGAACACGCCTGTTAGGTGGCTTCTGCTCATACTTTGTGGTGCGGTGGTGGTGCGTCGGGCCGCGCGCTCTGACTTCGGCCAAGAAAAATGCGTCAGCTGATCATTGTCATTTCTGCCACTTTCGTGTGGTGAGATGGGGTCATAACTTAAGAGACGGCTGTTTCATATCAATTATTTTACATAAAATCATATTTCAAACCACAAATTAATGTTCGACAGCCAAATTAAAGAAACAGCACCAATACAGGCTTACAGTTTAAGTTCGACATTGTGTTGTCTACGATTAGACAGCTGATAACTCATTCCCGTTCGTCGTAACTCTATAATGACCTTTGCTTATTGTCACATGTGCGCCGCATTCACGATTGTTGCCGACGCCTGTTTGCAAGTCAGCCCACTACAGTTATTATACATATCGAAAAGCCGATAAACTTTTAAGCGAAAAAAGCACTATTCCAGGCCCATTTTGGATTTTTTTTGCGATATAATAGGTAAAAACAGAAGCTACTTATCATAGGAAAAATAAAATGGGAAATCATTGGAAGGTGGCACAATACTTTTAATCGTCAAGCTAAATTGAAAGATGTCAGACACGTCAACTAATGAAGAATGCCACTTTTCTAGCATTTCGGGCGCCTTTAGCTCGTAACATATTGCTGGAACACTTGATGTTTAGCATTTGACGATAGGTATTTTCTAATAAAGTAACTCCGGGAAGAAAGGCTAGAGTACTTCCTAGGATCGGCAATCGACAGTTCACAAGCTACGAGCACTTCCACGGCCGATAATACATGGAAGAGGCTTAGCCAGCCTCTCATCTCGGCATTATTCTCTCGGGTGGAAAATGCTGCCGACTTTCTCGGCCGCCGCGGCCGGCGCCGGACCACGTAATTCTCCCATACGGCACATCCTTCAGCGCCCATCCAGTCGTGAAATGGGACTGGGGTGGCGGCGATTCGGCGCGCGCGCCGCTCTGCAGTCACGGCCAACTGACGCGTCCCACATCCCACGGCAGTGGAGCGGCGCAGCGGGCCGGCGCGGCCGCCGTATCGCGCTGGCCACCTGTCGCTACTGGGACACGCGCCGGCCGAGAGTGCTACCTTCTGAGTGGGGCGTCACTTGGCCGGGCTGGACCGGGGCGGGACGGGACGAGATGGGACGGGACGCGACGCCATGCTGGGTTGTGGGAGACGAAGAGGGAGGTGTTTACGGGGGAGTTTCTGAACTCTGGTCGTCAGTCTATGCATCTCGAGCAGTCACCGGTCCCGGACAGAGTATAACCAGGCCGTGTTGCGCCGTCAACCTCAGCCTGATGGTCATGATATACTCCTGACAGTCGTGACGATCTCCTCGGCACGGACACTACAGTTTCAGCCTGACAGTCTGCGGGGCCCCGTCCTGACAGTTCCAGTCTGAAAGTGCGAAAGTCTGTGCGGACCAGTCCTTTCAGTTTCAGACCGACGGTCTCCGCAGTCCTACCCTGCCATTTTATCACTCCGCAATGTCTGTGACGTCATCGGAGCTGACGGAGCCGGTTGGCTCCGTGTGTTACATCGGACCGCGGAGTGGCGATATCATCCTGTCAGAGCGCGACGGGAGCTACTTGTCAGACGCCTAATTTTGTACTCCAGTCGATAGCTAGTTAACCCGCGCCCCACTGGGGGGGGGGCTATTTATAGCCCCCCCTCCCGTTTTTCTGCAATAACTTCCAAACCGCTTGACGTATCAACGCCAAACTTTCAGCACCTTCGGCTGCATCAATTTGACACCTTGTGTCAAAATTTGAACTTCGTACCTACCATAGGTCGGCCGGAAATGACGTCAGAGTGACGTCATGTTCGGCCGATTTCGACGCAAAACATTGAACCACGGCAATCGCTCCCAAGAGCTCAGTTTTTAAGCTAGATCCAATTTCTTTGCATGAGCGGACTCAAAATAGACTGCGCTATCAAACTGCTATCTCGGATTTTCGAAATTTTGAAAATTTCGAAAATTTTATATAACAAAATTCAAAATTTATATTTTTACATTTTTTTCAAAAACTTTTTGACTTTTCGAAAAAACCGGAACATATGTGATAGAACGCATTATTATGACTAAGTCTAGCAAGTTTTAGCTAAATATCTTCAAAAATGGCCAAGTTATACGCATTATTGCAAAAAATTAACAATTATTAATTTTTCAAATCAATTTTTCAGCACGAATTTGACATCGAACGTCAATATAAATAGCACCATCGTGTTCCTGAGCTCAAACTGCATCCAATAGACATCTTTTTTATTGAAAAATTATAACTTCAAAATTTGCCCTTTTTTGACCTGAAAGTGACCTGACCTGAGCTAAATTTGACTCAAAATGACCTCGAATGACACAGACGACATCAAATTCGAAATGTTTGGCCTAAATGGACCATAAAACATGTGTCACGTGACCGACGGATGATATAATATTTTCATGACCTGTGATGACCTGACCTTGACCTGAAAATCAAAGTACAAGTTTGGTACCCTCAGAGTATCTAGAGCATCTGTTCACGAGTGTGTGAACCAAAAATGAGCCTGTTCTGACTTGTAAGACGGCGGCCAGAGCCCAAAACGTGAAGAAGCCAAAATGCTAATAATTTTTACTTTGACCTGACCTGTGACGTCATCGGTGACCTCGAGGTCAATGAAATTAGGTTTCGCTCGACAGTTTTTCCGGGGCTATCAGACGCTGTTTGAATTTTGACGATCGGCCCAGTAGTTTCGGAGTTAGGAGGGGGGGCTATGAATAGCCCCCCCCCCCAGTAGGGCGTGTTATACGCAGACCCCAGTGGGGCGCGGGTTAAATAAATAATTAAATACTTATCCTTAAATAAATAAACATAAAAGGATGAATATTCGTTGCCCTGGCAGTCTTTACTAACACGCTGTTGTAGCAGGCGAGTGCCAGTGGACCGTCGAATGTAGAGGGCGGGACACCGGTCATTGCGCTCACCTGTACTACACAGGAAGATAGCCAGCATAGTGGCGGCGGCGGCGGCGGCGGCGGGCACATCGGACGGCCGAGCCATGCTGCACCGTCGCTAGGACCCTCCTGAAAAGAGCCGCCGCTCATCAATGCTAATGTATGGATAGGGCGGACGACACAGCGATCCTACACCGGTGAGAAACCAGTCCCAAGAGGGGTGGGCGACCGAGAGCCTGATAGAGTTATTATGGTCCTGGAATTAACACTTCAAGGCTCTTGAGATACCTGCCTCGTTGTAGCAGCGCTTAAATCTACATATGTAAGTGTGCGTGCTGTGCCTTTGTTGAATCAATCTACTTATCCTATTCATCTCTCTCTCTCTCTCTCTCTCACTCGCTCTTACTCTTTCTCGCTCTGTCTTCCTCTTTCTTTAAATGTTTGCCTACATAGTTTCATTAACAAATATTATTTGCCAGTCAAACAGTATTGGTAAAAAGCAAAATGTGGCATTTATCGCATCATCGTCTGTTTGTCTTTGGGTCAACGGAGTCCAAGCTTAGATAAACTAAATAAAAATGGGACTTAAATTAACCGCAATATCGGTAAATGCCAGGCAAGTATCGGGCAAACTAGGTCCTGACAAGGATAGTTGCCGTATCATGTATGTAATTGGAAGGGGATCTGAAATTCGACGAGTATCTCTGTATTAGCTTAGATCAGGCTTGTCTTGCAATTGCTCGAATCCTATAGACATATCAATATGGGTAAAAAACGCATGGATAATTTTCAGTTGATAGGATTTAGAAGGCCCACACCGTCAACTCAAAAGACGTTTGATACAATAACTTGACTTGACTTTTCAAAGCAAACCGAAAAGTAATGGTTGAATGCTTTGCTAATTGCTATACATAAATGATGATTGATTTGATGATGTTTACAACGCACGTAGTCACCGACAAGAGAAAACGCGTTCACATCACAGAGGCAGGTCAGCATATTGATCGGTTGTATCTTCGTGCTATGATCGAACAACGAGACTGCAATCCCACTCCACCAAATAATTAGTCAGGCGTGCTTTCTGAGCAGCTTGTAGTTCCTCATCTCGAGTATTCATATTCACTTCAGCAGACACTCCACAACAGAGTGGCTATTACGTGTCCATTGTCAATCAATAAAACGGTGTACCGTGCCACAGCCGATGTGTCACAGCGCGCCACTCGCTCGTCATCAAACCCTATGCTGCTAAATTTGCCGGCGCGCGGCGGAGGCCGCTGTTACTCGCTGAAATGCATGAAGAGGTAATTTGATAAAGCTATTAGCGCGTCATGCCTACCACACCAGTGAAAATCGATAAGCTCGTTAGGATAAAAATAGACATTCCACAGCACGACTATCCCATCCATTATCGTTTAAGGTCACGATGGCTGGTAACAAGAGGCTCAGAGAATTGCAGTGCAATAGGCAGCCGCCTGGCTGTACACCCGTACTGCACAGTGCACGCCGGTGACAGTATCGGTGAAACCGGGCCATGTCCTGGAAATGTCACCTGGCTTTGTTTGCCCATAGCCACCGACTAATTTAGCGGCTAAACTGGACGCCGGCGCGGGCAGCACTGAGCACATCCTGGCACGCTGGACTGTGGACACTGACAGGTGTGAGGGGCAGGGGGGCGGGGATGACCGCCGGTCGCGGGGTCACAGGGGTGACAGGTCACCACGGCCGCACCATTCCATCTATAGCCGCCACAAGGACACAAAGTGCCCCGATGTCGCCCGGATGAGCGCAAAACTCGCCTCTGGGTCGACAGCAAAACAAATTTGATTACATCGTACCAGCAACCCTGCGGGTGCCTTCTAATCTCAGGTTTGATGCGCCAGCAATATCCGTAAGCGTAGCTCAGGTTTGCTAAAAAAAAAAACAAGTATTTTGTGAGAATGCAGGCAAGAAAGAGCTATGGAGTGGAACTTCTCTCGTTTCGCTGCGCTGGGGTAGAGCCACCATCACACGAATGGCGTCTCGGCAGCGGGATCAGGTGGCCAAGTTGTAATAATTACGCACGCTTATTTCATTTCCGTCCGAGTTCGGTCTCAGAAAGTTTATTGTCGGGCGACTCAGCTCTGCTGACGGGACCGGGGTGCCACTACTGCTACTCAGGATGGTCGCCAGTCGACATGCAAGTCCAACCCCTCAATCCAGCGCCAACCCCGGAATGCGTCTTTGGAGTCCATCAACTCAATTATTATTCCAATCAATTGACTATATGGCATACACTGAGGACTGTGTAGTAACATTTTCATTAAAAATGGATTATACATTTCCTTTAACCTTTTATTCATAAAACAGCGTTTGCTTGTGACACTTGGTTCATGAAAGTACCCGAACAAAAACGCATACAAATTCCGTTTAATGGCAACCCACCTTCATAGCTGCAAAACACACATAACTAAGGATCTCCTCTGGACTCTGGTCCTCCATTTTTCATGCATCGTAAGACATGCATAGTATGTGTGGGTTTAGTTCCACTCACTAAACTAGTCCATTTGGAATTCGTTCCTGAAAAGACTGGCCTTTGGATCAATGGTCGCCGAAGTCGACCCGAATTAGCTGCAGTGTAATTCATCGATTCCGTACGCCTAAAGTGGCGACAAGCTATCACTTTGAGCAAGGTGACCGTGTCTCGGATTTCCGAGTCTTTGACTTTCGAGTCTTTTGGCCCTGTCTCTATGTTTCCCGATCTTCAGTTCCCGGTCTCAAAGTTACAGCGTCCGATTCCCTTGTCTTTGAACGTGACGTGGTTTCCCCTGTTTCTTTTGTGACTGGGCCTCTAATCACTGTGTCTCCGGCCCTATATCCGTACCTCTGGTAACCGAGTAGCGTCCCCTAGTCCCCTCTCTCTCACCTCCTGCCTCTCCCCGCGGAGCGGTCACAGCCTGCATACCAATGCAGCGGCACGTCGGCACCCGACCACGTCGGCCGGTTAAGCTCAGCCGACAGCCGCCAAACAACCTGATGGCTTTTCAGTGTAGGCCGGCACTGGAGCCAAACTGGGCTGCCCGATTGGCGCCTTTACTGTCCAGTCTACCGGACTGACCGAATATTGACAAACGCTCCGCCAGGGAAATCCATAATGGCTGGTAGCTGCCGCGACGCACCACACACGTGTGGGATTAATTTGATAGGTAGCTGTTCGATGACAGCGGGTCCGATATCGGCCGCTCCTGTTGACCCGTGGGACGACGGTCAGAACGGACGCGACCCACGGGATCGTTCTGAGTTCCGAGTATCTGGAGCCTGCCTCTCTGTTTCCCGGTCTCCATTTCTTATCTCCCAGCCACCGCTCCCGTCTTTCTAAGGATGAGGTGGATCATTACATAATTACATATTATTACTACGCCTCTAATCACTCTGCGTCCGGTCCCCATCGCTGGCTATACGCACGGGCATCATGATATCATCCTAGACATCAGAGCTGACTGCTGACCGTGACTTCAGTCAGTTCCGTCCGACGCTGTCTGACGGTCACAACTGAAGTGCTGGTGCCGGGTGTGCGCGCCGATTTTCTCAGACTGATCGATCGAGGCCGACGTGAAAGCAGAACTCCGCTGCTTGATGTAACGGAGCGAACACTCGGAGCAGTGAGTATGAGAGCCGAACGAACGCACAGATACTGTACGCCAGCTCTGTTTACTCTTTGGACTGAGCTCTACAGTGCCTAAACTGAAAAAGCATGAAAAACTCATTGCTTTGAATGGGCTGCCTTAACAAACATGATGTTATCGCCATATTTCACCAGCATGTATCTGAGTGGAGCCAATACAAGAGTATCTATCCGTACGTATATGCGACTATAATTAACATATATAGTAATTAATTATAGTATATTAATTATAGTATATAATTATAGTAATTAATCAGAAAGCGACGAACTCCTGCCTGACGGCCAATACACAGGGGATATGTCGAGACAGACTGTGCCGATATTACGCTAGAAATAAAACAGGATGCGGCTGCCTGGCGATGACAATGGGACCGTATTAGAGCCGGCGATAATCACGGAACATTAGTGTCGGGGCAGACTGCGGCGGGGCAGACTGCGGCGACCCCTAGGATGAACAACTAGGGAGAACAACATTCGAAAGATGGCAGCACTAGACGAGATAATCAGGCAATACTTTAATATTAAAGGTAGTGTGCCACCTTTGAAAGATTTCCCATTTTATTTTTCCTAGGATAAGAAGCTTCTGTTTTTACCTAATATCGCAAAAAAATCAAAAATGGGCCTGGAATAGTGCCTTTTTCGCCTAAAAGTTTATCGGTTTTTAGATATGTATAACAACTGTAGTGGGCTCACCTGCAAACAGGCGTCGGCAACAATCGCGAATGCAGCGCACTTGTGACAATAAGCAAAGGTCATTATAGTGTTACGACCATACGACGTACGGGAATGAGTTATCAGCTGTCTAATCGTAGACAACACAATGTCGAGCCTTAAACTGTAAGCCCGTATTGGTATTGTTTCTTTTATTTGGCTGTCGAACATTATTTATGGTTTGAAATATGATTTTATGTAAAATAATTGATATGAAAAAGCCGTCTCATAAGTTATGACCCCATTTCACCACACGCAAGTGGCAGAAATGACAATGATCAGCTGACGCATTTTTCTTGGCCGAAGTCAGAGCGCGCAGCCCGACGCACCACCACCGCATCACAAGGTATGAGCAGAAGCCGCGCCCAAAGCCAGGGCCCCGGTAACGTGAGGTAGCCGAGTCGGGGCAGCGTGCGCTGACCCAAGCCGGGGCCGCAGCTTTGGGCGCGGTCTACGGCATCCCCGCGGGCAGCCCCGGGCTATCACATGACACCGGGAGGACGCGCGGCTCCGGCTTGGGTCAGCGCACGCTGCCCTGACTCGGCTACCTCACGTTACCGGGGCCCTGGCTTTGGGCGTTGTTGTGTTATGGTCCAACCCCCGCACGGCTGCTGGCCGCGCCTGCGCGCGCCCCTGCCGCCGCCACCGCTGGCCGCCCCGGCTACATGCCTGTGAGCGCCTCTGCCGCCGCCAGCTGACTGCGCGCCGAGCGGCAGAGCTGGCGCGGGCGACGAGGCGCGGCGCTCGCCATACTTGT